TTATATTTTTTAAAGTTTAAAAAAAAATATATTATAATATTACTTAATTATAAATAAAATTTATATTATATTTTGTTTTAAAAAATATCGGTAATATAAAGTCTCATGAAAAATTATACAAAAGAGAATAAATTATATAAGAAAAATTTTAATTGAAATGCGCGGTCTTTTTTAAAAATGATTTGTACACTTTTTAATTTCAAATGCCGAGTCTTCATATATTATTTATAATAAAATCCTTCTATTAAAATCGATATATATTTTTAATTAATAATTAATACAAAAATATTTTACTTGCCAAATTTGAAAAGCTAATTTTCATGGTTTTAGTGTTGTTTTTGAGTCGATTTTAAAAACGGCCGATTAAGACTTTAGCCCAAAATTATATTATTATATCCGCAAAACTTGGCAAATTGAGATGCCATCTATTAACAAAATCTCTAAGCTTACATAATACTACATAGTTTGGTAAATATTCGAGTGACCGTCATAATATTTCTCTGAACTTAACGTCAGCGAACAGGTAGCTTGGGAAAGAGCATAAGGTTAATGTTTAGAGATATATATTAGGGGCCAAGGTTAGTATATATTTAAAGTGGGAATATATATTTTTTTTAATGAGCTAACTTTTATTCATTATTTTAAAATTGTGAAAATCATTAAATTAAACCAAAGGTTTGATTAATTATCTATGAATCAATTAATTTTAACGCTGTGATACTAATTTTAAAAAATGAGCATTTTGATTGTATCATTTGATTTATTATAAAATTAGAATGATTGTCACACTTAGGAAAAGCTTTTAAATATGGTATATAAAATGGGGAAGAGGGTGGGGGAGGGGGGTAAGAATCAAATGCGTCATTAAATTTTCAAAAAGGCACTTTTTAAAAAAAAAAACTCAATTAGAGAATTGGGAACCTATCCTATTCAAGCGTTAAGAATAAAAATAAAATTCAAAAAATATTATTTTTGGTTCATTATTTTAAATTATATATGAATTCATAAGTACAGCCAACCCAAAATATTAGCGCATGTTAGTTATAATTTTCACTTCTTATGAGATGCACATTTACGATTTTTATTTTAAAATTTGAGAACAAATAATGTTTCAAAAATTTGTCCAATCCACCCTTAAGTTGTTATTTCATAGTTTTTATTTAGCTTTAGGTAAATTCCATATGTTCTCTTGATATCACATAAGACCTACACAACTTCGAGTGGGTGGGAAGTTGTCTTTCTTACATAGATTTAGAGTTGGTCTAAGGTCTTCTTTAAAAAATTTTAGATTTAGTAAAACAAATGCTAATCACGAGAGATACAATTATTTGATGCGGTGACGATTTTAGACGTAATCAGTGCAGAAAATTAATTGTCAATTCCTTTATTATTTTAATTTCCAAAATTCTGATTTTACTAGAAACGTCTTCTAAGATGTTTATATACACTATGAATTTGAATAAAAATTTACCATGAAATGTAGTTTTTAATTTATATTTTTAAAAAAATCTAGGAAAAAAATTATTATAAATTAAAAAGTAGTCTAATTTATATAGCAAAAATGCTAGACAGTATTCTACACAACGTCGGATTAAGCCGATAAATAAAAATTTTTCAAAACGCGTTTATTACAGAGTTGTTAAACGCTATTTTTAAAAGTAGCGCGCTGCCGCTATAGCTATTTGTCAAAAAAAGTAGCGCGCTATTAGCTACTTTTAAGCTACTTTTTATAAAAAAAATTTTAGAAACAAATGAAACAAATTTTATTTATTTTTTTTTTGCTTATAATGTAAATGTATAATAAATAATATATAAAAATCAACATTTATAAATATAAAATATAGTTAGTTTAGATTATAAAAAAATAAGCAATATAAATAAATATTTATTTTAATTTGTTGCATTTTAATAATAATATCATTTCAATATTATCATCCCCAAGTCTAGAGCGACGATCAGAAAGTATAAGCTTTGCTAAATAATCTCTCGACACTAGCACTTGATGGCAAGGAAGCTCTAAAAATATTTAATCAGATCAATTTATAAATATAAATAAGTTTTTACCTTTTATGTGTCCAATTATCTGCCGGTGTACATACATAAGATATATCTGATAACTCTACTATTAGAGCATCTTTCATCACTTTGAAGTTGTCGGCTATTTCATTCATAAGTGTCTGACGACATAAAACTGTTGTGCCAGGGGATAAAGTTTTAATCATTATAGTAAATGATGGATTATCAACCAAGGACAATGGCTGAACTGTGTCAATAATAAAATCAACAATTACTTTATCAGCCAATTTTTGTGAAATATTGGCATGTTTATTATCAGTTAATTTGGTTTGGATAGTATTTGTCTTTTTGAATGAAGATTCTCTTATACCAAAATTTTTTATATGTTTCTCTATTTCCTTATAGCAATTGGCGTGAACAGTCTAATAAAATAAATAATATTATAATGTAATAATAACAATTTACCATTAGGTGTTTCTTCAGGTTATAGCTACTCGATTGATTTGATGATATATTTTTTTTACATTTTAAGCACAGGAATTTGAATCCAGATTTTGTTTTAATATTTATTTTAAAAATTTTTTCAAATCTAGGGAATGGGAAATCGTTATTAGAGCTATTAAGTGCATTTTCTTCCATTGAATCTTCCATGTCTGAATCACTTTCAAGGATTTGGATATCCATGGGCGATGCCATTTTAGATTATTAACACAGATTGAAAATATAAATTAAAAATTGAAAATATATTTAAATTTCAAAATTAAATAATAAATTATAAAAATTATAATTAATTATGATATTATATTTAAATTTTCATGTTTATACTTACATTCATTATATTTTATAAAAGTAGCAGCTATAGCTCAAAAAAGATAGCGCGCTACTTTAACAACTCTGGTTTATTAATAGAATAAATTGAATACTACATAAAGATTCTTGGTTAAATCTTTGGATTTTAGTGGGTAGATATCCTAACATACCAACATAAATTTTTGCATCTATAGACGTTTCATGTAAAATAAGAATTTTAAACTTTAAAAAAAACTGAAGTTTATGATTGATTTCCTGCACATATAAAACCATCATTGCATCAAATAAATAAATTGATTTTGGCATACCTATTCTCCTTTGAGGAGATTATAGGTAAATAAATATAATTTTCGGATATTTCAATATTAATTTATTTTAGACAGTTTTTTGAGATCAATGATGTTTGAATATAAATTTGAGGGGGCTAATTAGTATTATTAAAAAGCCCGATTTTAGAAAAAAGCCCAATAAAATATTAACCAAAATAATATTATGTGAGCCTGGAGATTTTGCTCATAGATGGTAGAAAGATTTGGATATCTATTTGAAAAATGACGTAGCTTACATAATATTATTTTAACTAAAAATCTTAATCATGCCGTTTTTAAAAATCGACCCATCTCGGGAATTTTAATAACACTAGGACTAGGTGATCAACACAGCAGGGGGGTATTTTGCCCACGAGGCCGCTACCGATTAGAAGAAAATATCATAAAAGAGGAGATTAGAAAAAAAATTTATTATGTTCGCATTATTTTCTATTATTATTTATTTATTTTTAATGTTATCTCTATTAGTTAAATTAAATATCACAATCCTTGAGAATTATCATGTCGTTTACTATATTTTAATGCAGAAATTATCAATAAAGTCGCTTGACGCTATACATCATTACCACTTGCTTTTCTTTGTTTTTTTCAAATGAAGTGAAAAAGCTTCCATTTGAGTTTGAGTAGAGTGAAAGCTAAGTTTTAATTAATTTTTATATTATATTTCTATGCATTGATTTATTGTAGAAATAATATAGTCAACATTTGTGATTGTATTTCTTGTTCTTAATTCATTGAAATTAAATAAACCTCAGGCATAATAATTTTAATAAAATAAATTTTTGACAATTTGATTTTCTAGTGTTTCTTTTTAATATTAATTAATTGAATGATTATTAACTAAGCTCAACGAAGATTGTTAAAACTTACCTAATATTTAGATTACAACAATTTACTTATCATTTGCAAATATTTTAGTAAAATTAATTGCACAAACCAAATATAATAATTAACTTTATATAGTTATTTTCATACCTGTATATATATATGCTTATTAAGAGATGTATGTAAAAAGTCAAAAGCAAACAACTTATTTATATTTCATAACCCATAGACAGTCATGTTTTTTTATTATTACTGGCTAGTTCATAAGATTTTTATAAAAATAAGTAATTTTATGTGAAATATGAATTTTAATTGAATTTCCAATTCACATCTTGAGATATTTTTTTTGCCTTAAATTATTAATAATAGTGAATTTTTATTCAATATCACATGAAAGGATAACTCAACATGATGACTTTATTGCCTTACATTAAAATACAATTCTTTAAAAAAATTATATTAAATTTAATTTTACAAATATCTTGTTTATATTTTTACACAATGTAATTTATTAGTTAAATTCATATATTTTAAAATATCATGGATAGAAATGCTAATAGTGGAGGTGAAAAATTAAGAGAAAAAAAATGCAGCTGGTCTCAAAGTAGCTGGTGCTGATTCAAAACAAATTATATTATCTTTCTTTGATAAATCAATAACAAGTATTTTTAACACTATTACTTCATGTATAATAAATATTTTTTTAGGATTATCAACAATCCCTCCCATTCATATCTACCTGAAACAACTACATTTCTGCAATATCTTCATTTATTATTGAATCAGTTCAGGGGCGTCACTAAATTTTACAGTCTCAGGGGGATCAACTAAAAATTATATTATACTTTTTTAATTGAAATTTGCAAACTCTGAACAATTATTTTGAATTTCATATTTTCTCATTTATTCTGTATACAAATAATGAAAGTAAAACAATACAAGTCTAAAGACATAATCTCAATTGTGACAAAAAATATATAAATAAACAAAATAATATGGATAAAAATAGTTATAGCGCTAATAAAAAAACCACATTCAAAAAATTTGATTAAATAATTATTTATTTATATATATATTTATAAATCTCTCTTTCACCACAACTCTTCCTTTACAAAAATCCCTTCCTTCTCCAACACAAACTCGAGTTCTGAGTCAGATACGGCATACTCCAACTAATCTAAAACTTCTTTCGTCAGATAGGTGGCAGACAACTCTTTTCCCGACCCATTATCAATTTCACTCACCCCTCTTGACCCAATCCTCCGGGTGCGGGGTCATCCCACGTTCCTCTGTCTACTTTTAGGTCCCATTTGGCTACTCCACCCGACTCTCGTTCCTACCGGTTCTAATTCCCTCCAGTATCTGACACGGCTTCGTGCTGCTATGTTGACATACATGCCACTTCTTCGGATATCTCGACTGAGGACTCGTGTTCTCTAGTCATTCCACGAAAGCCTGACATTGATGCTTTAGGTCTTTCTGCCTTCTCGGCTATTTACTCGCTGACGCATGGTTTCCTGTCATTCCCCGAACACCCGACATCGATGCTCACGGTCTTTCATCATTTGCCCTCTTTTGGGGATATCGGCTTATAACGTGCCCCTCTTTACCGCAATGGTAGCACCGACGGTGTTCAACCTGGGGCTGGGGCATTCTTCTAGTTTGCATTCCTGGCCGCCCCCAACGATCCGGTGGCTGCCTTGATCTTATGATAAAATGTATCTCGAAATATTCCAATATCCAGTTGCGACTCATATCCAACCTAAATTTGAGGCTTAATAGTTTGTAACTTTTATATATTCATACCTTATTTCCCTTTTCAATTCTGACTTGTACAATATGATTTTATTCGAAATAATCTATTCTTTTACAATTGACACTTCACCTTACTATTCTAATTTACAATTCAGCCCCTCTGGCTCTTATAACTTACTCCCTATTCTCTTTTTCCTTTTTCTTTTTCTCTTTTTTTACCACATAATTTATATCCTAATTAAATTTCAAACCCTTATAACCTAACTCATGTGTAATTATCAACAAAAATATTTTCTTTACCTTTTCATATCTTTATATTATAATATTTTTTCACAGCAATCCATTTTTTTCTTCTTTTTTTTAGGAATTAGTTAATCGAGGAAGTTTACCCATATGGTGGACGTTTAAGTTGAGGATTCGTTAATCGAGCAATTAGTTTACCTGTGTGTCGGATCTTTAAGTTAAGGAATTGGTTAAGCGTCGCATTAGGAAATTATCTTTAGGGGATATATTTTGAGAATAAGTGATAGGTACTGTGAATAAGGAATTAATTTGTTAAATACCATAAAAACGGATGTATATGTGTATTATGGGATTATTGACTATATTAGTAATAATATATGTTTGGGTTATGAGGGTCAGATATCCGTTGTCTAAAATTGAAAAAATATTGGCTTATTTAAAAGAAAATATTTATTTTTCAAATGTTGGTTTTTTGAATGCATATCAGCAGCTTTGTGTATTACCGGTAAAGAAATTATTAACTATTATTACACCTAAGGGATTGTTTGCATTTAGATTGATATTTAAACTTAGTGTATCGGCTCCACAATGGCGGCCGTTTTTAAAGGAATGGGGGGGGTTACAATATGGACGATTTCTTGGTGACTATAAGAACTCCCGAACAGCTTGAACGAAGATTGGAGTAAGTATTTAGGAGAATAAAAGAAAAGGATTTCGGGCGAGTACGGAGAAAGGTGTGTTGGGAGTGATTGAGGTGACATATCTTGGACACAAAATTATGGGAAAAGAGGTAAGACCCTTAGACATGAATATGACAGGAATTACCATGATGAGAGTCAATAATAAAGCCAAAGTGCAGGTCTTTTTGGGAATGGTCAATTATTCTCATCGGTTCATGGAGGGATTTGCTCAGATAGCAGTGCCATTATATTAATTGCTGAAGAAAGGAGACAAATTTGAATGGACAGATGAACAAGAAGCGACCTTTAAGGATTTGAAATGCTGGAAAGCAATCTATTTTAGCTTGCTTTAATGATAAATTGGAGATTTTATAGGCTGTGGACGCGTCTAATAAAGATATACGAGGAGCTTTGTTGCATTGTATTGATGAATTAGAAAGGCCCAGTTATTTTTCTCAAAAATATTTAGAGCAGAAGAGAACAGGTATTCCGTTATTAAGCAAGAAGCGTTAGCCATCATTTCTGGATTAACAAATGTCGAGAATATCTAATTGGACGCAGGTTTGTTATTTACATAAAACGGACAAAAAGGAATTAATGCTATCGCCCCTGTTACAAAGATATTTAATGCTAGTGGGAAGTTTTGGCTTGCAAGTGAAATATCGACGAGGGAGAGAAAATTATTTACCTGACATTTTATCTAGATGTGAAGTTGGGGAGGATTTTGGGGAGAAGAAACAGGAAGAATGAGGCGAGAAAAATGAGTAAGTACTGATTAGAATGATGGCCGGAATATCCAGAGGTGGGCCGGTGACATGGAAATAAATTAAATGGGTGACTAAAAGATCGCGAACTGAGACGAATCAAAGCATGCCTAAAAGGATGGAAGATGTAGATGGAGATAAAATGTACAAATATAGAGAAAAGGAGTTGCAATAATAGATGAATGTCTAGAACGAGGAAATCGGAGTGTTATACCGTTCAAGAGGGAAGCAGTGATGGCAATAATTTATGCTGGACATTAGGGAAAGGAGAGAATGAAAGAAAGGGGACATGAATATGTGTGTGGCCGGGAATGAATAAAGTGATTGAAAATATCAGCCGAGCGTGTGTCAGATGTGGGCTCCGAAGCCTCGAAAGGACAAGGGAAAGTGTAAGTGTGTGGCCGAAGCCTACAAAGCCTTGAGAGCGCATACAACTGGATTTCTTTGACTTAGAAAGATAAGTATTATTACTCATTATGAACGCTTATTTAAAGTTGGTGGAGATGAGGAAGTAAGAGGATTAATAACTCAAGTAGTGATAAAAACATTGAAAAATCTATTGGATATATTCGGAGTCGCTATAGCAATAGTATCGGATAGAGGTCCAGCTATTATTAGTCGATAGTTCAAAGTCTCTTGTGCGGAAACTGGAACACAGGCAGAGTGAATGGTCGCTGTAGTCAAAAATTGGTTGAGGAAATCAAAGGATGGAGGCGGAGAGAAGTGAGTGACAGTGGCGTATTACAATAACAGTAAAAAGGAGAGTAGCAATGGCCAGCAGAGAGGTTTTTAGAAAGGAGAACCAGAATTTGGTTGGATTTTTCTTAGACCAGCAATCCAAAGAAGGGAGCTGACCGAGACAAAGAATGAATCTGAATTTATGATAGGGCACAGTATAGGCGAGAATATTTGGTGGTCACAAAAAATGGGAGTCCGGGGTGATTTTATAAAATATGGGACGCAAAGTAAGTAGAGTAGAGTTTGACCTACGAAAGGATCAGCCCCAAGATAGAGCCCGAAAGGTTGAGGGAGGTTTCAAGGAATGTGAGGGGTCAATTAGTAAATCATGATAGGTAATATATATAATGGTAAATATGCGGTAATAAAAAAAAAGGTATCATGTATTTATTATTATAGTTAATTAAAGGAATAATCTTTCCTATGAGTGAGTATTATCCATAGGATCCTATCTTAATGGGAACATTTTGAGAGTATTATCAGATTTTAAAAAATTTTGTTTTTGCAAAATAATTGGGGGGTTATAGGGTATGTATTTCTGAAACTCTTGAATAATTGAGATCTGGAACTCTTAAAGTGATTGAGAGTTTCGGGTGTGTATTTTCTTTATTGCACAAACTAATCGAGAGATACATGGTATAATGTTTGAAGATTTTTAAGCTAATTTGGGAGTTATGTAATATGTGATTTTGGATTTTATGATATTAAGTAGAAATCATGGGGTTCCTATTTTTGGAAATTCTTAAACTAATATTTGTCTTAAATATTCACAAACAAATTGAAGGGGTATATACATATTTTAAATAAAGGGGAGATTATGAACGTGCTTCAATCCAACTGGGTAAGTTTGAAAAATAATGAGGGGTAGAAGTGGCAAATGTAAATACGAGGAAGTTTTTGTTTAAAAAAAGTTTTTACGTGATACGTGATAAAAGCGTTTTCGCCCTCTGGTTGTGGATACAACAGAGCTACGCTAGGTTTTCCTCAAAAATCCATCAAACTGGATAGTTAATTAAGGGGAAAAAAATGAGGAGCCCTTCACACGTTTGTGGGCAAGTCGCACGTACTTGTACGCGCAACAGTCCGAGAACTGTTGCTTAAACGTCTATAGGCTAATAAACAAAAAGAAATGGGCAAAACAAAAGCCTATACCCATGAACTGCCAAAATAATTTAATTACTTTAAGGGTGGGTGGTGGCTAATTTTAAGTTTAACATCTAATGTAAGCCTTGATATTTACTAACAATAATTGAGAATGTGTTCATATCAATTGAGATTAGAATTTATTCATGAAAATAAGGAAAAGCTAAATGGGTTTACCGCAAATTGTTTAAATAGGTGAAGATTCCAGTGAATAGGCAAAAACTAGTCAGTAATCGGTTGATGACTATCCAGCAACGAACACCACACAACAAAGGTTTTTTTTTCTTTTTCCAGAGAAACAAAATACTCTATGGAGTGATAGATAGATTATATAGCGAAAAAGGTCTTTGATAATGATAAAGATATGAGAGAAAGGAAACTATGACGCATAAATAGGAACCAGCTCTGTAAGTTTTAGGAAATGGAAAAGTAATTGTTGGCCAGGATTAACAAAAGGCATTATGGCTTGATTGTTATATGATAGTCTATCACTCACGGAAAGACTCTACCAACAAAACATATTTACAAACCTCGCCACCCCCCTGTCGACTGGTTTCTCCATAAATGAAATAACAAGTAGACAAAGACTAAGAAAAAAACACTAAGAAAAAGAAAAATAAGTTAAGGAGACAGCTGGTGCTGAACAAATTTGATTTTAATTAATTTTCATAAATGTAGTGATAAATTTAACTTTTGTTAATTTCGTACATCTAACTAATTTTAAATTATCGAAATAAAATTTGGCAAACGAAAGGAACGGGAGAGAAAAGGGTAATAAATCATAGAACTAGCGAAAGAAGCAGGAAAAAGAAGAAAGTAAAGATAAAATTAGATTTTAGAGAAGTAAGGATGATATACCAAAAGTTTATTGTTTATTTAAAGAGAAAAAGTATGGAAAAGAGTAATAAATCATAGAAGTAGGGAAAGATATTAGGAAAGTTAAGATAAAATTAGAATCTAGAGAATTAAGGATGATATGCTAAAAGTTTATTACTTATTGTAAAAAAAAGTATAAAAGGGACATGGAAAATAATTTTTTTTAGAAAATTAAATTGGAAGAAAAAGGGATAGATGTGAAAAATATTTTAATATATTCTAATATAAAGATACGAAAAGGTAAAGAAAATATTATTTTTGATAATTACTCATGAATAAGGGTTTGAAATTTAATTAGGATATAAATTATGTGGTAAAAAAGAGAAAAAAAGAGTAGGTAAGTAAGTTATAATAGCGAGAGGGACTGAATTGTAAATTAGAATATTATTTCGAATATAAATCTTGTAAGTCAGAATTGAAAGGGGAATAAAGGTAAATATACAAATGTTACATACTATTAAGCCTCAAATTTAGGTTGGATATAAGTGAAGCTGAATCGAAGATTTAGATATATATTATATCATAAGACCAAGGCAGACACTTGAGGGGCGGCCAGGAATACAAACAGGTTGATCCCAGTTGGTGTTACCATTGCGGGAAAGAGGAACACGTTATAAGCCGATGTCCCCAAAGGAGGGTAAATGATGAGGGGCTGCGATCATCGAAGTCGGGCGTTCGGGGAATGAGAGAAAACTATGAGTCAACGAGTAGAATAGCCGGGAAGACGGAAGGGCCGAAAGTATCAACATCGGGTGTTCGTGGAATGACTGGAGAACACGAGTCCCCAAGCGAGATCCGAAGAGGTGGCATGGACGTCCATGACATCGTGAAGCCGTGACTGATACTGAAGGTAATTGGAACCGAGAGGAACGAGAGTCGGGAGGAGTAGCCAAAGAGGACCCAAAAGTGGAGAGAGGAACGTGGGAAGACCCCACACCCGCATATTTGGATCAAGAGTTGTGAGTGAAATTGATAATTGGCCGGGAAATGAGTTGTCGGCCATCTATCTGACGGAAGAAATTGTAGATTGGTTGGAGTATGCCGTATCTGTCTCGGAACTCGAATTTGTGCTGGGAGAGGACAAGGGATTTTTGTAAAGAATTATATAACAAATTTTTTTGAATATATTGTTTTCTTATTAGCGCTATAACTATTTTTATCAATATTATTTTATTTTTTTTTGTCGCAATTGAGATTATGTCGTCATGTTAGTATTATTAATCAATCTATATTTGTTTGTCATAATAGATATAAAATGAGAAAAAAACAGATTTTTTTTCTTGTGAGTATTTGTAAAAAAAATTTGGTCCATATTTGCGACAATTAGTAAAAGAAAAAAATGAATAAAGGAAAATAAAAAATAAATACATTTTTCGTAGAACAAACTACCAAAGTGAATAAAAGAATATAAACCGAAGAGAAACCACCGATTCCACTTTAAAATAAATTATTTCCATTTTAACATAGTCTACCCCTTTTAGATATACAATTATAAGTTTCATATTGTAATTTGAATGTTAGTAAGAATCTAGAGTAATATATTTTATAATAATATAAAATAATTGCTTGTTATATTCATAAAATCAAACCAAATAATATCCAATTATATATTATTTAATAGGATAAAAAAATGAGCATTGTTCTGATAAGCAAATATGACTAAAAACAATTATATTCTAGTCAATATAGGGTTAAGGCCAGATGTCAGCTAAGGTTCGTTTTCACACATATGAGTTGAATAAAGTTGTTATAACCATTTACATAATAATAGTACATGCGTTTCTTTATTTTACTTATTCCCCAATATTTTACACTCATAAATATAAATTTTTATATCAAACAATGTACGATTTGTATCCACAAAAATAACTGTATTTTATTTGAAATAAAAGAAAAAATCTAAAATAACTTTAGAATATGAAGCTTGATAGGTAATTTTTTTGAAGTTTGAAACGAATCATTTATATATATATATTCATTTTAATATTTATAAAATGACTTATTTTAAAAAATTATTTTAAATTTTATCTTTTTAAAATAGATAGTTTATAATTAAATTAGGTTAAAATGGGCATGAAAATGAATATCAAAAGTTTCAAGCGAGCAATTTCACATCAACGTGCCTAATATGTAACAATGTTAAAGCCTTTTTGACTTTTTTCGACTTACACTATATTAGAAATAAATCATTTAAAGAGTTATTATTTTCAAAAAGGCGTTATAGATCAATTAGCTATCTCCCATTAAGAAAAGTAACTATCTCATTCTATCAAAAAATAATTTTCTCAGAAATATACGTATTAATATATTTTAATTTTCTTGGTTATTTTGGAAAACATATGGCGCAATAAATGGTAATTTAGCTAATTATTTAATTCTTCTTTTATGATAATTTTTTTAAAAATGGCCTTAAAAAACTATAAATCGAGAGCGCTTAATTGTATTTAATGTATTGTTTTTAATTAAAATAATGTCTTTATCTTCACTTTTCATCTTAGTTATCCAAGATTTATCAAAAAATACCCTTTAAATCAATCATGATTACCCCAAGTTACATGTTAATACCGTGAAAAATGTAGCGCGAGTGCATTACCTGAAATGTCGATTACCAGGAAAAAAATTCGGAAAAATAATACCGCGGATACATCTTCGCGAATATATTTTAGCGAAAATATTATAGTGAATGTATTACCACGAAAGCTTTATCGCGAATGCTTTAACATGAAAATAATATCATGAATGTATTATCGCGAATATATTACCTCATTTAAATTATTGCGAACGCATTTCTGCAATTACATTTCAGTCAAAATATTACCACAAATGTATTATCGCAATTATATCGGACTTTAGACAATGAAGATTTAAAAATAGTCCTGACGACTGGCTCGAGTCTATGAAATTTTTTTTATAAAATTGGGCTTGGAAATTTTATTTTATTTTTTACATTTTCTATTATCCGTTTTAATTAAAATTTGAAGATCTTTTATAGATATTCTGTGAAACATAATATAGTATCTGGATGGACTTTCATATATAATGGAGTCAGGAAAATAGGCCTGAAGACTGGCTCGGGTTTAAAAACAATTTATTTTTTCATATTATCGTATATTCTGGACTTTAATATAATTATAATTAGAGAACTGCCAAAGTAGGTTTGGCTCTATCCGGTCCTTGAGCTGAGCCGGCCCTATTTTTTAAAAAAATTTGGGTTCGGGGTGGGTTGATCCTGATATTTTTTAAAAAAATCTGGCCGAGTCGGGCTTTGGAAAAATTTTATGTTGAATCATATATCAAAAAAAGGCGCTAATATTTTTTATGTTGTAAAAACTAGGCGCCATATGACCAAATTTTTTTATTTTGGGTGTGAAATTTTTAAAAAAATTTAAATTATAATTTAATAAAAATAATTTAAATAAAAAATTCAGGCCGGTAAAACCTTTTTGAAAAAATTTCGGGTCGGTCCTGGCTTGAAAAATTATGCTAGATGTAGATCACTAATTATAATATAAATTCATAAAATAAATAATAAAAATTCAATTAAACTGGGTGTGTTAAATAGGTTAGAATTAGCAGTAAAAAGGTTAAAGAATTTATTTGAAAAAAAAAGATTTCAGCATAAAATAGTTTCAAAAAAATGGGGGGGGGGGGCTATGAGAATAATTTATTTTGAAGTGGAAACGGTGGTTTTTCTTCGGTTTATATTCTTATAATTTACTTTGGTAGTTTGCTCTACAAAAAATATATTTATGTTTTATCTTTATTTTTATTATCCTTTATTCTTCCTACTAATTGGCACTAATATGGACCAAAAACAATTATACAAATATTTAGAAGAAAAATAATTTTCTTTATTTCGTTTCTCAATTTTATATCTATTACTATAAATAAATATAGATTGATGACTTTTTTAATACAAAATATTTATCCATTAACTACAATATTAAATATTTTCGATTACGAATATAAAAAAAATATTTGTCTAAAGAATTAAAATACAAGTGATAAAAAAGGTTAACCTCAATTGATATGGTTTTTAAACACAAGGCAATATAATTCTTAGCAACCTAAAGGTCATTAAACCAATATAACGTTGTGTTAACTTTTAGGCAATGTTTTATAGAATTGACTAATAAGGAAAAATTTGAAGGCCAAAACAAATCATAATTATTGTAGAAGAGAATATAAACGACTAATCCAAATCATAAAATTATATGGTAAGGCCTAGATGACATTATGGTAACTAGATAAGTAATCGAGAAAATTATTGTAAAATATTAAATTTCTAAAAGATCATGTACCACTTCTAATGATATATTAACGACTAGACAGTTATTGATGATCTAAATTATGCAATCAAATGTTCTCAGCAGTAGGAGTAATAATATTAAATTACATAGCCACACAAATAATAGGTGCTGGTTAATTTGTAGTCAGTGCCAAAACAAAAACACTAAAATTTTAGAAGAAATCATTATAAAAATATATTGAAGCCTTGAGTTATTTGGATGGTAAGAATGCCATATTAGAAATAATTCATTCTGGAACATAAAATAAGGACCAGAGTGATAAGATAAAAGCGACTAAGATTTTATATGTTATTGTAGCACCACATCTAGTTGGTACATTATATCATAAAATAATAGTAGTTTGTAATAATATCAAAAATATACTCGTATTAAAAATTTAACTCAAAGTTTTACGAAGAAGGAAAAAATAGCTTTCACATAAAAGAAAGAGAAGGAAGAAATAGCTTTCACATAAAAGAAAGAGAAGGAAAAAATAGCTTTCACATAAAAGAAAGAGAAGGAAGAAATAGCTTTCACATAAAAGAAAGAGAAGGAAAAAATAGCTTTCACATAAAAGAAAGAGAAGGAAAAAAGGATATCTAATTAAATTGCATCTATTGTGGGATGAATGCAAATTTTAACTTATATTTATTATCAAAAGCATTGATTAGTAAGGTTTATTAAAATATTAACTGTAATAAATTCTATAACTGTCAAATATATCTGTAAATGTGGCATTCCTAATATTTTATAATAAATTCAATTTAATAGAGGACTAATAACTATATGTCTATTTGCTTTTTATAAAGAAATTTTAGTTGTTTGGACCTTGGAAATATTCTTAAGAAGAGGCATGTTAATTAAACTTAAAAATGAATAATATAATTGATAAGTGATTTTGAACTTTGCTATTTACAATATTATTAAATTTGTTAACATTCAAATAATGAATCATTATATATATTTAATTATAAGGTTATAAAATAATTTAAATAATAAAAATCAATTAAGCTTCACCTGTTAATGCTAAATTAATATTTAGACATTATGAGTGAAATTGATATTTTATTTTTAACAAAGAATTTAATTACAAGCTGACATAGTGAAAATAAAATTTATATGTATTATATCTAATCTAATATTTAAAATAGCACTAATAGTCTTATTAAAAAATCAACTCTATATACAATACTTAATAGAATTATAAATCAGGGGGCTATAAAATAATTTTATTTTATTTCAGGGGGATATAAGGAAGCTATTAAAAAATAATTTCGCTTCAGGGGGCTATTCAAATTTTTCATGGGTCTCGAGCCATTTAGAGCTACTCCCTCCCCCATACAGTGACGCTACTGCATCAGTTCAATCATTGCCATACCCACCTAAATATCTTATTCACCATTTCAGGAGATTAATCATTCACATACCTTGAAAATACATTATATTATCTACGCAATTTATTATTTATTATCCTCACACTTATTAGAAGCTACTACATCAATAATACCTTCAGATATTTCACAAAGTTATTTATTAATTTACCATGTGTTGGAATATTAACGTTACATTCATCTGTAACAATTTTATCATCTATTTTTTAAAGAGCTCCTTCCCAGATATGCCACAAATCAATTCAGAGGATCTTATAGTATCTCCTTCAGAAATGGATATGCATACACATGAAAATTTTAAGTTGCAATTAACAGCTACTATACCTCAAAAAACTTACATTTTTAATGCAACATCTTATACAACCAATAATATGAATTATATTATCGAATGTTAATAAGTTAAAAATACCTAGAAAATGGATTATAATAAAACTAATATGCAATAAAGCCCAAACTGCGTATTGCTCAATCTGCCCTATCATTTGCAATGTGCGAAAACATTTTCACTTCACTATAGGCTCAACAAATTTTTGGTATATACATTCAGTAATTAAAATACATGAAAATTCAATAGTACATATTAGTGCAGTCGAGGCCTATCTCATAGCATCAAAAAACAAGTCATTTGATAATTCAATTAGTATTAAAATATTAAATGAAAAAAAAATCGATAAATTTATAACAATATCTATATAATAAAACAAATATTTGTGAGAATAAAATTTTTAGGCAAACAAAACTTACCCTACAGAAAATCAAATTACTGAAACACTTAGCCACTTTAAATATGAAAATTTGAATCATGAGGATTTCCTGGAAATGATTCGTATTAGAATGATCAAGTACTCAGATCATTTAGAGAAGGCTATTTTAAAGAGCAAACGTAGAAAAGAAAAGCTTAAACTTTCTGACAACCTAGAAAATGGATTACAATAAAACTAATATGCAATAAAGCTAAAACTGTGTACTGCTCAATCTGCTCTTTGTTTGGTTTGCAGCTTGTTGTCAAAAACAACTGTTAAAAAAGTTATTGATGTTGTTCTTGATCAAATCAGGAATTTAATAAAAAAAAAGTAAATTGGTAACAAACGAGTTAGTTTGCAAATTGATAGTACTCAAGACATTCGCGTTTATGATCAAGCAACCATTTGCCTACGATATATATATAGTGGAAATAACAGAAAGGCTTTTAGCAATTACAAAAGTTACAAACTCTTCTGGAAAAGGATTTTTTGATATCTTAAAGTGAATGCTTTTTAAAATATGGAATACAAATGAGAAATATAATTGGAGAATCATTTCATGGTGATGCAATGATGCGAGGTGAATTTGTTAGGTTCTAAGCTCTTACTAGATAAGAGCCTCCAGGTATATTTACATATTAAATCTTTGTGATTCATACATATATTAGGATTATTGAACAGATTAGCAACTATCTTTTGTGAATAATATATAAGGATGGATGCTTGGATGAAACAGAATAATTCATCTGGACAAAATAAGTTGAGAAGGCTGCAAAAAATAGTGAGAAATGTGATGGACACAAAAAGCCCTTAGATGGATATATGATATAGATATCTTGCTCGCAATAAAGATAAGCCCTTCAATTTATAATAGAATCATTCAAGGCCAAAATCTCATAGGAGGCGCTGTCTTTGATCGATAATTTATTTTAGACTCTAAGTACAGCTATAATATATTTGGAAATTTTTAATAATGACTGTCATTATATCTTCAAAGTAAAAAAATAGATATTTTGTCAGCATGAAAAATGATAAAAGATGCTAAGTCTTCTGTATCATCGATAACTAATATATTGATTCCGTGATAAAAATGGCTTATAATTTAATTGAAACACTAGCCCTTAGATGGATAAATGGTATAGATATCTTGCTCCCAATAAAGATAAGCCCTTCAATTTATAATAGAATTATTCAAGGCCAAAATCTCATAGAAGGCGCTGTCTTTGATCTATAATTTATTTTAGACTCTAAGTACAGCTATAATATATGTGGAAATTTTTAATAAAATAGAGAGCTTATTTTGAATGAGCAATATTTGCATCCAAGGCATTTTGATGAAATAAATAGTAAAGGTATTTCTGTGGACAAATTAACACAACTGGCAAATATATTGAGTGTTAAATTACATTACGGATTGGTCAAAGACATTTTTTTTAGAAAGCTATACATACAAAACTCGTTTAAAACTTTTGCAAATTTCACAAAATTTAGATAATATATTTTTGCAAAATTTTTAATTTTCTATTTATGAAAAAGAATTACTTCGATAAAGTTTGGAAAGTTTTAGAATTAAAATTTTTTTAAATAATTTTACATAAACCAGACCAACGAAATAAAATAAATTTTAAATATCGGGCAGGCAACCTAAACAAATTTTTAGAAATAAATGAGCCGAATTTATTTTAAAAAAAACCATGAGCGGATGAATAGGTGAATATTAGGAGGGTCAAAAATTTTGGAATTTCAGACCTCTAACTCTTATATTACAAATCTAAACTAATGTAAAAATATCTAGGAAAGTTTTAGTGTTAAGATTAGGTTGGCATTAAGGCTAAAAAAAATATACCACCTGACTAGATGGTGTATGATTGGGGCTGTTAATTTGTAGCAGACTTCCTTAAGAGATAATATGATTTATTTTTGGAACTTTATTTATTAATGAGATAAAGTGATCATAATTGTAATAATTTTTTTAAGTTTAAATATATAAGATTAAAAAAATAAAGAGTGTTAATATAAAATTATAATATTAAAATAGTATATAATTAATAATATATATGAGTATATAATGTCGAATGCACAAAATTTAATTTTTAAATTTATTTTTTAAAATTCTGGTGTATATCTTTAACTTTCAATGATCAGGATTCTTGGAATTGAATGAAAAGTTACAATAAAAGGTACAAATAACATATATATATATTCTAACACAACAAAAAACATATAAATATTAACTAGAGCTTTCCTAGAATATATCGTGATCAAAATCTACTACCATTTGGATATTGGTAACAAAAGAAATATAAATTGAAATGTTAAGATGGTTAAAGTTTTTATGTGTTACTTATTTTCGGATAACTTTTTGGAGTGCCATCTATTAGATGAATTCATTCCAGAAGCTCTATATTTAAGCTGCTGACTCTTTTGTCTAAAGATTTGTTTAACTTTGGTCCATCCTTAATTAAATTAGAATTTTTGTTAAGGATGGGATTATTCCCAACTGAATCAATAAAATGAATGTTAGGTTTTATATAGTTATTAAGAAATATCAATATAATCTTCTTTATCGTTGACAGGCACGCATATAACATTCCTACTATTTAAAAATTTATGAATATTATCAGCAACTTTTTTGCCTCTTTTGATAAGTACAATTTTGCATAAAATCATTAGGAAAAAGAGTATTAAAACAACAAATATTTCTCTGCAAATTTGGTAAGTTATCCAAAGATACCTAGATCTATTGTCCTGACTTCAAAACGTCGGAATTGGTAATAATATACATAATCTTCTGTGTAAAATTTATGTGCTATGTTTAATGAGGTTGTACATAATTTCGTTTTATGCAAAGTCATTTGTAAGTAGGAAAATACCATATTATTGAGTATGTGAGACACAAGAGCATAGCAATTCTGATTCTTTTAATATTAACTAAAACGTTGTAATTGAATGGAAATACAACTGCGTTTAGTTGATTAGCGAAGAAGAGCAAATAAATGAAGAAACTAAAATGTAACAATGATTTCGATATGGGATAGTGATAATGCGCCAAATATGTCATTCAACCTTTAGAAGTCCAGATAGAGTTTCCTGGATGTTCACTTTCGTAAATTTTGAGCAAGGGCGAAATGGTCAAACACAAAACATTTATAAAATTTACTATGAAAAACCATTAACAAATATTGATATGTTGGAGGAGAATGTACTATTATCTCCACACCTTGTATTTATCGACAACAAATCCTTAGGATCTGAAGATGAAATTAATACATTTGTAGAATTTTAGCACAAGCATTTTAAAGTTGACCACTTCACGGTTTTAATTATCAAATTCTTCGCACATTTAAAAAATATATTAAGATGAGCGCATAAATCAATAATCACAGGTGGATTATATGTCAAAATAACTCAATAAATTACCGATTAGTCCCAAAATCATAACATCATGCTTAAGACCACGCACCAAGCGCAGAGAGTGGCTTACCCCTTCAACAATACAAATAATTAAGAATCTTACAACAAATATATCCCACCATCAATTCGCAAGACATCGCAGAAGGTACATTACCCACCGCATAAGAGCTGACAAAAGACTGTTTATTGCTAACTTATCGAATTCTATCCAATTCAATTTTGATAATAATAATATTTATAAGGCCTTCCAATCTCTAAAACTACTCACCACCTTTAAAACCAATCCTTTACCAAGACTACAATTAAACAACAACAAGATTATAACTGACCCTAAGGAACAATTAGACTTATGGATAGACCACTACATGAACCTCTACAAAACGAGATGGCCTAGACCTAGATGTGACTACCCCTTCCAATCTCCCAATCAGAATTTGAACAAGTCTGATATAGTCGGTGCCATCAAACGTCTAAAAATGCATAAAGCTGCTGGAGCTGATGGAATTTTTGCAGAACTCTGGAAGATAGAGGTAGACCTAAGTGCCAGCTTACTACTTCCCCTCTTTAGGGAGATTTGGAATACGGGCAAGTTTCCTGACGAATGGATGACATCAATTATACTAAACTTCCCTAAAAATAAGTCCCCAAACTGCCTTAAAGATTACAGAGGTATTGCACTAATTCCAGTCACACTAAAAATGTTCACATACATCATATCAGTCAGGATTAAACCAATCATTAACAGATTCCTTTCTAATGCTATCACATCATACAGGAAGGGCAGAAATACTACGGAGTTTACCATGGCACTTAAGGTCATTCTGGAAAAGGCCAGAATGCATAAATCCCCCATCTTTGCCCTGATGATTGATTTAAGTCAAGCCTTTGACTCCATAAGTCAGAATAAGATATGGCCCTTGCTGGAAAACATTGGAATAGATAAACATCTGATAGCGCTAATTAAGATAATTTACGACAATCATAGCGTAGTTCCTCAGCATTTAAATATGAAGTCGCAACCTTTTAAAGCAAATAGAGGCCTCAAACAAGGATGCATCCTTTCACCGATTATTTTCTAATGTAATAATGAACGATATTCTAAATAAATCCTTTAAACAGGAATATGCACTCAACACATATTACAGTGAGCAACAACACCTCAATGATATGCACAACTCTTTAAACTTTCTATGTTATGCTGACGACGTATGTATTCTAGCCAACTCGGAATACAAATTAAGAAATATTTTATCATTATTTGTCAACAACTGTGATGGATATGGTCTAAGAGTAAACTACACAAAAACCAAACTAATCACCTCAAATACTGATGCGAGTCAAACCCCTTTAACTTTGAGGGTAATACGATAGAATTAGTGTCAGATTTTAAATACCTAGGAACCAGGATAACGTCATTAGGCCTCACCTTTTTAGATACGAAATCGAGAACGAATAATGCTAGACTCCGCTATCATCAACTGTCGAAATTATGGTCATCCAATCAAATATCAACTAATTTAAAAATAAGACTCTTCAAGTCCCTAATTATACCCATTTTTACCTACGGCCTGGAGACTTGGCAAGACTCAAAAAGTAACATCAGCACAATTCAGACTTTTATAAACAAATGCCTTAGAAGAATCACCAAAACGTATTACCCATACAACACATCAAATACAACCCTCTGGAATAGATGCGACATCCTACCAATCAATCATCTCATACCCATGAGGAGACTAGAATTACTAGGCCATAGCTTAAGACACTCGCAGGAAAATATGATATTTTCGTCCTTGAAATGGTGCCATGACGGTAGGAGGAAAACCCCTAAATACTATTGGTTGGCGAAATGTCTGAAAGATATGGACCTGATTAACCTTTCGTTTGCAGATTTCAGGGCATTTAGTAAAAACAAAAAATACCTAAAGGAACATTTACAATACATGCTAAAATATGGCCTAAATTAATATCGCAACCAATGATATATATAACTATAGATTGACGATCATGCATAAAAAAACGTCCACCTATTGAAATCAGCTGTAGCGCCATTTTGTAGCTTGTACGTTGATCAAATGCCTCAATAATGATAATAATTTTTAAAAATTTAACAATTTTACTAATAATTTTTAATGTAATTATGTAAAATAATCAAATGAATCCTAACCTCAACTGATCTTCAATTAAATTACATGGGTATTCTCTAAAATAAAAAAACTCAACATTTAATCCAATAGTAGTACATAATATCATTAAATTACTTTCACCCAGAAATTATTCAGAAACATAGATTGCTACAACATCACTGAAACAAAAATCACCAAAATTATACCCATACAAAATATTCCATACTTATATCTAATACACCCTCAAATATTCAACCAAATAAGGTCCACTGCCTATATATAATTGCCAAAAAAACTTATCACACAGATTCCTTTGACTCAGTCAAGAAAATACATCTTTCAATCATAGTTTTAAGTTAATTTATCTATTTGATTAATATTATTATAAAAATAAATTTATTTTTAAACATTCCTCAATTATTTAACCCCCAATCATTTATTAGAATATCTAATTTATTTTATACATATTAATTGCAAATATCAAAATCATTTATATTTTTATATATATTTGTTAATTTTTTTAATAAAATTAGTTTTTATAATTTTATCAAATTCACTTGATGTTTCATTAAAAATCTTATTATCCACTTATTGTTCATTTATGGAATCCTTATTATTAAATATAATAATATTTTATGATTCATATCTTATTAATAAATAAAAATGATGTACTTATATTTATTGTAGTTGCTGGTACTTTTAATTTTAGGTAAGTAATTTATACCTTAAAATAATAATCAAAATTTATACAAAAAAAGAGATCTGTATAGATATAATTAAATAAAATCTACAATACTCTAAAAGTAGATGAGGATTAATTAATTATGTTAAGAAAATAAGATTTTATAAAAAAATATCCTGTCAATTAAAAATTATTTTGGATTATGTGTTCTAGATGAAATAAGTTAAACTATCTTAAAAGATGGGTTGAGAGCTCATCTTACTTAATTTTTATTGTAATAATCATTTATAATTTTTTTTGTTTTAATTATTTCATCTTAATTATAAATGACAAATGAAAACATCTTTTATTTTTTTTTCAATAAAAACATAGTGTAATAATAACATTTTTTGCATGAGTTTAAATTATTATATAAATCATTTAAATAAGGTTTATACAATAAATATATAAAAATATAGAGTACACTTTAAAAAACAAAATGTATTTTTAACAATGTGATGATTCACATTCATATTATCTTTGATTATAAACATTCATCCTTTTTGATTCTATCATCACCTATAAAAAATAAAATATATTTACATTAGCATAGATTATATATAATATCATAATTTTTATAATATGTCTTATATAAGGCCTGTTCTTTATACAATATAATTTTTAAAAAATAAAAGAAGATATAAATATTAATTTACATGACTTATTGATTATTAAATTGTATTGCTTTTGTAAGATTTTGCCTCATACCAGTTCTCAATTCCTGGTTTCTCAAGTCAGCAAAATGAAAAAATCTAATATTTAAATATCTTTAAAAAAATAGTATAAAACTAATAAATGATTACCTTTGAACAATTAATTTTACAAGAATTTGAAAATGGCTGTAACCAATCTCATGTTCATTAATATGTTCAGTAAGATCAATAAAAATATTTGTACCAATTATTGTGGAAAAAACCAACACTTCCATTTTTTTAATAATATTTTTACGTTTAATATCATTTTGATAAGTTCTAAATGAACTTTCACAAATTCGGCATAATATAGACATACTAGATGAAGGAATCACTAACCCCCCATTATTTTTAAAATTTATGAGCATATTATTTATATTATTATCAATATATGAATCACTGACCATTGCATTAATGCAAACATCACATCGTACCTTTTTTTCTTTAATAAGTTGTTGTACTATATATCCCGAAATATAAGTTGTTACATTATCTAAATATAATGATAATTTTGGGATATGAGGATTTGTTTGGCTAAAATAATAAGATAATGCCTGGGGTATTATTGGATTTGAAATAGTTTTGATAGAATTAAAATCATCGTCATGATTATTTTGAAAATTTGAACATATTAATTGAGTATTATCTAAGGAAATGCAATTTCCTGTAATTGTAGCATATAAGATTTATAAATCCGTGCAGAATTAAGTTAAACTATATTTTAAAAAATTAAAAGGTGGGTTAGTCTTAGATTCATTTTTTAAATATAATCACCTAGTCCACATTCATAAAAAAAGTCTTATGAAAATTTAAGAATAAAAGATACTATAAAATATTATATCATAAATCGAAACCTTTAAAACTAAATTATCGTAGTAGACTTGTTTTCTATATATTAAAATTTCTTGCTGACAAATAATGGATAACCAAACTACAAAATGGCGCTACAGCTGATTACAATGTGTGGACACTTTTATAATGCATTGAATGAATGAATCGTCAATCTATAGTTATATATATCATTGATCGCAACCGTTCTTCACCTGTACCTTCTTGCGATAAATGGAATAAGTGTATTTGATAATGATAATAACCTGAACAACAACAACAGAACTTAACTTCCTTTAATAACCCACGACCTTCCTTTCTGGACACACGATATCGGCGACGATAACGATAACAATTACGAAAATATTAGCTGTATAACAGGCAATGAGAAGATAAACTGGCTATAATAATAACGCAATAAATCGGACGAACCCAAATACCATTGGCACAGAACATACAAGATCTACAGGACATACAATATTTTGGCACACCGAACAACAAACAAGGAAGAGACTCTTCATGCAAACTTAACATAAACTCTCAATATTTAACAAGATATAAGGGTTATTTTTTTGTTGCCTCACTAAATACCACTTAAGGACACAGGTACATTTTTTTATATGACATTATTTTTATTTTTTCCTTAACACTATTCTGCCGGAAACGGAACTAATACATCACCATTATTGTACTTCTTCCTTCTTCACTTTGCTAACAGGCTACATAGTGGTACCGTCCACTATAATAAAACGGGTAGACATCATGTATGGGATCTATATACTAGTGAAAATACATGATGCACGCTTCAACTCCTGGTGGGTGATGAAATTGCACTTCGTGCAATTTCTGGCGTGGTAATGAATGAATGAATGAATTTATTAAGAAAAACCACTTTAACAAATAATGACTAGCATTAAGATCCCGCATGTTAGAGGAGAATATACCATTATTTCCATACCTTCTATTTATTGACAACAAATATTGAGGGTCTGAAGATGAAATTAATATATTCGTTGATTTTATACACAACCATTTTCCAGTTGACCATTTCACGGTTTTAATTATCAAATTCTTCCCACGTTTAAAGAAGACATCAAGTTGATCGCATAAATCAATTACCACGGATGGATTATATATAAAAATAACTCCCAATAAATTATCAATGAGTCCCAAAATCAAAATAATTATCAAAGTTGCTCTTTTCCATATATAAATAAGAGCGTATATTTAACAAATTTTTTTACCCCTTCTCTAGGAATTTCTCTTAAAAAAATCCAATTAATAATTCAATATATTATTCTGTTTCTGCATATTTTTATCAGTCAAATTATTTTATATTTTTTACGGTTTAAAAAAAAGGATATCAATATCACTTAATTATAGATAAAATTTATATTATATTATGTTTTGAAAACTAATATCAATAATATACAGTGTTATTAGTATTTAATTTAACATATTAACGACTTAATTTAAACACATGCATATATAATTATAATCTTTACAAATGTACAACAAAAGAAATAATTTAATTATACATGAATGGGTTTAAATTTAATCTTCAATATGTGTCATTAATTCATCACAACACTGTAAAAGCCCCATGAGGAATTATTTAAAAGAGAATAAGTTATACGAAAATTTTTTAATTGAAATGCACAGGCTTTTTTAAAAAAAAATTATTTATACATTTTTTAATTTCAAATGCATAGTTTTCATATATTATTTTTATTAAATCCTTCTATATTTTCAAATAATAAAATCGATCTATATTTTTAAGTAATAATTAATACAAAATTATTTTACTTACCTAATATGAAAAGTTAATATAATTATCAGGCTTTAACATTAAATACCCCCCCCCCCCCCTGAATGGAACAATCTTAGGTTCTGGAGAGAAACCCGAGGTTTGGGTCGATTTTAAAAACGGCCGATAAAGACCTTAACCAAAATAATATTAGTGTATGCCGTGAAACTTGGCAAATTGAGATTCAAAATTTTCTACCATCTATTAGCAAAATCTCTAAGCTTACATAATGTTATTCTAGCTAAAATCTTAATCGGCCTTTTTTTAAAATCGGCCCAATAGAGTCGTTTGACAATACTACATGGTTTACTAAGTTTTCGAGCAACCGGCATAAATTTTCTCTGAAGTTAACGTCAGTCAACATGTAGCTTGGAAAAGATATCAGGATCTTGGCTTTGACCATTTTATGGTCAGAAAGATTAACACTAGTTATGGCCATTACATCTTCGAACCAGCCGTGGACGTTTGAAATAAAAAAAATCTATTTGCGATTTGTAATTTTCCCTTTTAAAGGTGAGTTTATTATTCTTTCTATGATAGAAGAAAGTATTTTCAATTTTGAGATTTTTACTACCACACAACTCAAGTAGTTTCCTACTGTCGTCTCCATTAGGCTGAGCCAGGGCTGCATTTCCAATAATGTTGTTCCTTTTATAAATCCCTCCGAACCAATCCTGGTATTTAGATCACCCTTCAAAATTATGTTGTATCTTTTGGGTAAAGCGTTAATTATATTTTCCAGATCGTTGAGAAAAAGTAATCTATCTCTCCTGTTGGGGGGGGGGGGGTGGCATACACATTCACCAGTATTGTTGGCCTAAAATTTGTGTTGATATATAATAACCCACATCTCTCTGAAATAGGTGTAAACTTATTTATATGGCTGTATATTTTCTTGTTTATCAAAAATCCGACACCTGACCAACTGTTAGAAGTAGTACCAGAGCAGTATAAAATAAAGTGATTAAAGGTTGCAGTAACGCTGTCCCGGGTCTCATGTAGAGCAATTATATTTATTTTCTCGTCTGCCATTAATCTCAGTAAAATAGCGAGTTTATTCCAAAGGCCATTAATATTTAGTGAAAAAATAAGTAGCTGTCCCTTAAGATGATGTATAGTTCTGCTATAATTATACTCCCTTAATTCAATAGAAAATTCTCTAAATCCGGGTGTTTGGGTAAACAGTAAGATAAAAATTAAAATAAATAAAACAACAAAACAAAAATTTTTTTAATTTCTAAGGAATTTAAATTTGTAGAGTAACAATTAATGAATAAAGTAATTGTCGGGATACCAGATCTTATATAAAATGACAAAATATGTCTATAATATCTAAATCCTTTACTCCTGATGTATCTAAGAAGCACTTATTGGTTTTAACTCATTTATATAAGGGATGCCCTAGTGATTTGCCGGTGAAATATTCCTAGAGGAAACAGAAATTAAGAAACAAAGGTAGCGATAAATAAAACAAGTAAGTAGAGCAAGAAAGATATAATACCAAATATTTATGAGAGGGAGAAACTAATTTTATACATGATTGACCATTACTAGCCAAGGTTAATTATAATTCGAAAAGTGGGGGCTAAAGGTTTTCTGCTCATCCTGCAAGATCAGGAAAAAAGTGTGGACACCTAATTGGTGAGTTGAGGGGGAACAAAGGGTATGATCATCCTCTTAGTATATTTTAAACCAAGAAAATTTATTGTATAATTTGAAACTAATGAAAATTAAGAAAACACAAATAAAAAAATAAAAAAAATATGTTACCCCAGTTTACGGTAAACTCTCGTGAATACAGGTTTGTTAGAATTTAAATATAAGATCGTGTTGGGAGTGATAAAGAGGAATTAGCCACAGTAAATTAAATTTAAGTATAATCAAGCACTAAAATAATAATATGAAAAGGTAGAAAAGAAATAAGTGAAAGGCATAGGTATATGTGGGTGGGATTCCTTACGTCTAATACTTCCTTTTAATTTTAATAAAAGCTACTGTCACAGATCAATGTTTTAATAAACTATTTAATAAATCAAATTTAAGGGAAATATCCCCTCTACTCAAATACAAACATTAAAATGGCATAAATTATAGAGTATTAATAATAAGATGTGTGAAACTCTTAAAGATTTTATAAAACGAATAGGAGTGTAGAAGAATTGAAAATAATAATAATAAATAAAGAAAATGTAAAATTCCTGGCGCCGAATGTATGAAAAATAATATTATTTGAGAGAAATAATTTCCTATAATCATCGCCTAGTCGGCGCCTAACACAATTAATAAAATTATTTGATAAGTAAAAAGGAAGTAAAATATATATGATGTTGAAAAATCAGAAAAGTATAACTTATATATAATGTTGGTTTAAAAACCAACTTTAAAAGAAAATAGCTAAAAAAATCCTTTATAAAAGCACGATATTCGAAAAATATTTATAAGTATACTTTGTGAAATTTCATATAATCTTATGTATATGTAAAGCGTATTATGATAATCTATCTAGTGTATACTAATAAGGAAAGGGTATACTTTACGGAAAGGAAGGGGATTTATATATTTCTTTGGATGTGCATGAAATTACTTTTCATTTTTGCATTTAAATTTAGTAAAAACCTTATATATAATTAAATAAGTAGCTCACACTTCCTTTATGGAGCTAGTGGAGGAGGGGAGTCGTTAATCAACCTTCTGCTAGCTTTAAACAATATACTATATAAAAATAGTAGAAGGGTAGTATTCATATATAGGAATATGATCTATGTCTCTTCCTTCAAGATATGTATAAGAATATGACCTATTGTCGCTTCCTTAAAATGCAAAATAAATATAGAAGGGTACTTTTATGTACAGGAAAATGATCAATAAATCTTCCATAGAAAACGATATAAAATGATGAATGGCTAAGGAACATAATTAAATCAATATATTATATGGATTCGATGTATGAAATACAAAGTAGAGGGGTAATATTCATGTGTAAGAAGAATGATCTAAATGGTTTTATTTGAATACAAAAGGTGCAATATGAATATATGAAAGGGGGCGATAATTTAGATGATACTAAAAATAGAGAAAAGGTATCTAAAACCATAAAGCAAGTAATATAACTATTGCTTATGTGCTGAGCAGAAACTGGTATATATAAGGGTTTCTAGGGGCTCTCCCTTCTAAAAGAATTGATCATTAATATTATATAAAATAAGAAGCGAGTATTACGACACCTAAGAGATGATGCTTCTGTGATAAAGACCACATTGATCTTAAGAGATTTAACAGGTAAAACAATTATTAATAACTCTAACCAAAGGATAATTTATTTCTTCAGAAAGGAAGAAATAGAGAACATAAAAAATTAAAACTAAATAACTGATAGCTATAGGTAAACTTTACGAAAAATAAAATTGAAAGGTAATAATCTATCATAAGTTTATCTCCATATTTGTGTACTCGCTCGAAAACCACGAAATTAGATTTGATGTGGTGAGAAATATTTTACAACTATAAACTGCTATAAGTATACTTGAATCGAGAAAAACTATGACTACTCAAAGATTATTACCGATTTAAGTTAAAATAAATTTAGGAAAATGTTTGCTGAGTATTAAAGAAATATGATAAAATAATTATTTATTAAGGACTAAAACATTAGGAAAGGAAAAAGTAATGAGGGGAAAATATTCTAGGTGGGATACCTGAAGGAAATGAGAACAATATACTACGAGGGACAAGACTATATAAATTGTTATACCTTTCTATTTAAGACAATAGCTTCCTGCGATTGTAATAATCTAAAGCATTCTGTAAGTGAATAGAAAAATACTAAATTATAAATAGTGAACATTATATAGTTATAAAAAATATAAAAAAATAGTATATAAATTTTTATGTATTTTAATAATCCAAAATCTCTCATAGCAAGCCTCTTAAAATATTATTAATTGGTAACCATTCTGTTTTTTTCAATGACATTATGTCATTGGTTTTTTTATAAAATTTAATGAAATGTACCTAAAATGTTTATGATGTTTTAAATCATCAATTGAAATTTGAAAAAGGGTAAAATCAGATGGAATAATCAAATCTAATTCATTAAATGGTAAGTATATTTATATTCAAACGTAACTAATTTACTTATAATATTTAGTTTCTGAATATAGATATTAGATATTTAATTTAAATTCCATAAATAATTAATAAACATTACTATGTTATACATATAATAAAATTCAAGAACTTAAGATTTATCTTCTCAGTATTTATCTATAAGTTTATTGTTTGGGGTTATTTTATGGTTGTATATATATAATTTTTATTTTATACATAATTTTCTTATAATAAATAGATATGAATCAAAATTCATTTTTTCTTTTTTGTAACAAGAAAGTTCATATTATTTAAATGAGATAATTAGATAAGAATAATTTTTTTTAACTTAATCTTTCATTTCATGATATAGAGATATCCAGAATTTTGATAAGAGGGGAAAGAAGCATTATTAGATGGGGTTTTCCCTGTAAATTTTATTGAAGATCTTTAGGCTCATTTATTGTAGTACTTTGGCTATATTATAAAAATTTTAAATTATGGTCATTATTTTAAAAATTTATTAACTTTTATTAATTTTTCTTCTAAATTCTTCCTTATAGGATATATTGCATACATTTTTAGTGTGATATGTAGGGGGATGGGGGGGGGATTTGTATTAGCTTAAAATGATATTTATGAGAACTGGCAAATTTGTTACCTCTATCATGATAATTTACTAAATATTACTTTCATCATAAAAAACAATAAATTTCAGTATTGCTTAATTTTCCCATAATTTACAATTACTTCCAAAGATATGTGTCTTCAAAGTTGAAAATCTTATAAAGCATGATTTCATAAATCTCAATTTAAAAAAAATACATATGATAGATTCACAAATTATAGATTATTTTATAGCACTTAAGATTCTATATTGGAAGTTTTTGATTTAAAATATTTTTTTATTTCTGGTAAAAATTAAACATTGTTAAGAAGAATTTTTGGGTGTTGATATTCTCTAAGAATGCTTATTACCTTTATATTAAACTGTTCAAATTAAAATCAATAGCCATTTTTGGTTTTATAATTTTTATATATTTTTATTATTTTATAAATAAAAAATATAATATAGATGGCACTATGCTTGAAATTGTTTTAATAAAAAAAATGAATGGGGATTTCAATTTAATCCAGCCAAATTTTAATTGGCTGGACTAGGTTGAAACCAAAGCCCTATATTAAACATATTTTTTTTCAGCTCCGATCTGAAAATTTAAAAAAAAATATTTGTTGATTGAATCTGATTTAAAATATTATTTAAAAATATTTATTTTTATGGTACCAGCTTATTTATTTATTTATTCTTTCTTTAATATTTTTAAATTGATAAATAGGAAATTTAACTATAATTTCTTTTATAGTTTAGATATTGATACTCACAATATAAAAATTTAATTTCAGATTGTATAGCAGCTGAAGCTGCTTTTAATCTACATCTTATGGTAAAGGTACATGCAACAGCATTGGATGAACATTAAAAAGATTAGCAACACATTTAACCTTCAGCACACCAGTGCTTTTAACATCCATTTACAAAACAAAACATGCCATCAGATATATAACCAATGAACAATACAATTTAGAAGATATTATATTATGAAAAAGATTTGATTTGGCTCTCCTCATTCCAGGAACTCGGGAAATAATATATTTCCTTCGAGTTTAAATAAACTTTAGAAAAATATGTTCATATGCAGAGGAATTTAAAATTAGCAATATCTCAAATGCCGATAATTTGCTTTTTGTCAATATCAAAGGATTCGTTTTATTGAAATTACTGAGGAGATATATATTTTATTTTTATATCCACATAGACCATAACCATACTTCTTTTACCCCACAATGAAAAAGATATGGCTGCCCATTAATCAAATAATAATGATGGTAGATCCCATAACAGCAACAGGCTACCTATAAAATTATCGCTTCATGAAAATTTATTAATGGGTGCAAAATGGAATACGATAAAAACATGTTATATATTTGTTTATAATAGTTTATATTTAAAATTTTAAATTATGCTTACCTTAAAATATAACTTCCTAATAATAAACATATCTGTATGTGCTGTTTGCTACATAGTGCCCCAGGAGATAATATTGATTATACTGAATAGATTTTTTTTATAAATAAAAAAATATATATATTATAATGATTTTTAATATAATGCCATCTATATTATATTTTTTTTATTTATAAAAAGAAATTTTTTTTAATCAAATTAAACTAAAAAACGGTCGCAATTTTTTTTGATTAAACAGTTAAATATGACGGTATTCCTGTCGAATAATAGCTTTCGAAAAAATTCCCTTTTCATCAATATTTTTTTTTTAACATAGAATTTTAAGGGTCAATAAATGATATATTTTATCAAATATTTTTTTAAAAAATAAAGATTTAAATGAGCGCTATTTCCGACTTTATGGACGTATATCTTAGGGTTGATCTAGCACTCTTAAATTTTTATTTTATTAAAATTTGAATAACCCACTACTATAGCTTTTCCATTCCTAACCTTTTGGAAATATTAGATTTATATTCATAAAATTTTAATGAGTTCTTAATGCCAAAGACATTTTTTTTAGAAAGCTCTTCATACAAAACTCGTTCCAAAACTTTCGCAAATAAATTTCACAAAATTTAGATAATATGTTTTGGCAACATTTTTAATTTTCTATTTTTGAAAAAGGCGTATTTCGATAAAGTTTGGAAACTTTTCGAATTAAAATTTTTGATATTTTGAGCGCAGCCTAAACTCGGTTACACCTTGCTTTTTTTTCTGAAATTTTTTTAATTTATATAAATTAATTTTAAAAAATTATTCACGTTTTATAAATAATGTTTCTGGTGGGGGTGGGGAGGGGGGTGTAGATTATGCTTATTAGCTTAAAGTGATATTTACGAAAATTTAAGCTTAAGGCAAAATCTATCTCTAGCATGAAATAACCCAGAGATTCGCGCGTACAATTGGAATTCCTTATATCATTTTGCTTTAAATGGGTTTACGAAAATACAACTCTTCATTTGATTTTCGATTTCGGCCTATTATGTATTTTTCCCTGAAAATATTAGCATAATATAAGGATGAAAGGTAAAATAATATGAAGGCTAAATAATCTTTATTCGATAGAATAGCAGATGTATACCTATTGAAATTGAATGGTTGCGAAACATCTTATTTATAATCCCAACCCTGAGAACGGGAATGACCATTCGACGAGGGGAACATAAAAAGTGTAACCCCGCTTGAATGCCGGTTAAGAGTAAAACAAAATTATAATTTCTTTTTATGAACTGTTTTTAAAATCTTCGTCAATGGGTATTATTTTATTATATATTCGGTTGCGGCTTAGTTTGAATACGTATTCATATGATTATATATTTCTTACAGTTTACATGAAAGTCAGGAACCTAGTCCTTAACGCTCCTGTTTATATTATTTTTGAAATATAACCAAACCCCTCTCTATATGATTACTCATGTACGAATAACTTAGTATGACGTTTGATTTATAACTTTTAGTTCTCTTTTTAAAAAAATCTTTATATAAAACGGTTTAAAATGGAATCTGTCATATTGTTTAATTCCTTAAATTTATATTTCGTTGTTATTATATTTTAGATATTAAACATGTTTCTCTTTAGTCTGCTTTTTCTATTAAACTTTTACAAGGAAATGAATAAATTATATGAAGCCAAAAAAGCTTAAATTCAAATAAAAATTTTGAAATATTGGTTTATGGCATTTACTGCTAATTTAAACACCACAAAAATAGATTGAAATTCGGCATCTTTAGAGAGTATTTTCTCTAAAAATACGAAGAAAAAAAAATAGGACTTTGATGCGTGTATTATTTTTAATATCAAATTTATCGTACATGTTAATTCTATATACTTTTAGCTCAATCATATATTTATTGCAATTTTGATTATATAGCTTAATCATTTTTATACTTTTCTAAGTATTTAAGTAAAGGCAATTCTAACGGTTAGCCATTTTTCGGGTCGCATTAGCTTAGTCTTACAACATTTTCTCTAAAATGGTAACTTTTGACCAGTAATTTCAGCGTTCATTTTTCGTCTAAAAGCGCCCAGATATTCAGTTTAATAAATTCATCTTATGATTAAGCATAAAAATATCACAGGACACTAAAAATAAACTGCCAAGAAATTGCTAAACAACAATAAAATAATACTTGAAATAGATACCCCTAAAAATAAAATTAAATTTGAAAATGAAAAATATATAAAATTTTTTAATAAGACTTTGGTATATTTTGTTAATCTTAAATTAAATTCAAGGTTTTCTCACCCATAACGAAATCCCTATAAATATTTTGTTACCTTTTTTTTATCTTAAAAAAACATGATATTGACTTTACAAAAATAATAATTATATAAAAACTAAATAGTGTTTTTTTTTAAAAAAAAATAAAAATTATCCGTCATGTCGGATCGAATAATAAAATTTAAAAATGGATGCCCGGACTCTGAACCCGATATTAAGAATTCGTTACATCCTTAATAATTTTAAATATAAAACATTTATTTTAAAAATATTAGAAAAAGATATTTGAACCATTAGCAAAACGAAGCAATAGAGTTGAGGATGAAAGGGTCCCAGTTACAGAAACGCAAAATAAAGATGCGATCAGTGATTCCGTTAATAATAATCGCGATGTAACATCTACTATCACCCAACAATTTAATCCAACTAACCATGTTCTCCACCCTACAAACGTCATATCCAACGCTTCCTTCAGCATGGGTAGTGAACTATCACCTGAAAAATCCACAATAATGTCATCAAAAATTAATATAACTCGAATTCCGGCCGTTGATCAAAATCGAACTTTCATCATGCCGAATATTCAATCGAACGACAGATTGATCAATTTCGCGCCTACGACTATTTCCTATCCCATTCAATATACCAATTCACCTCTCCACACAAGAATATTAAATGTGGGAAATCACAAAATTTTCGTTTCCTCGATGATAAACACTCCGGAAGGCAACAGCAATCTTTTTTACGATAATTACGATACGCTAGATACCTTCGAGGCCTGCAAACTGAACCTGGACTTCGCCAAATTAGCCAACATAGTAGATCCCAACTATGATGCCGCAACTGGCGAGGATATGCCATCCAATCTGGAAATCGTTACGGATCCCGATAAAATCGAGCCCGATGAGATTAGGGAGAGGGAAACATTGATGGATCACGGCCGTCAACCTATTCATAAAGGGTCATCCGTGTCCCACTTATCCCTATACAACCCATCTAAAAGGACTCGCAAGACCTCAAACCTCAAAAAGACCTCGATATTTTCTCGTTTCCTGTCAGCCAAGCCGGACGATCACGGCGACTCTAAAAAGTTATCTATGCACTCTTCGAGGTCGAAGGAACAGATATGCGAGACCTATAACATCGATATACCTAACAACATCGTTACAGCCTTATCATTAAGCGCCGAGCACTTACGACGAAATAAACAGCCACGCATCCCGATAAATTCTGATCTTTTAGTTGATCATGACGACACCGATTCATTTAATCACCTGCGCCGTAAATCGCTCATTGATGAGCATCATACCTTTGAGCTTTTTAAATCTAACCTCGATGACATCGGAAACTCCCATTCACGCCCTCTTAAAGAAGACCTTGCCAACCTCCTAAATCCCCCTTTCGATTCTATGGACGCTCAAGTTATGGCGGACTCTCTCCCATACCGCGCTCACTCTTATCTACCATTTAAATCTTCTGACAAGCCTCGACATCCCACTGTCTTCAAACGAGTCCGCAAAAGACTTGTCAATAAAATCGGCGGCTCAACTAACGTAGTCCAATCCAACATCAGCAACCGCAAACAGCACTTCCTATCTGACATATACACCACTCTCTTAGACACGCGTTGGCGTTGGAGTGTGCTCATATTCGCCGCCGCGTTTCTCCTTTCCTGGACTTTATTTGCCCTTCTATGGTGGCTCGTAGCCTTTGCTCATGGCGATTTTGAACAATACAATAATCTCGAAGCCTCCCTTGGCCAAGTTGGTCCTACCGTTGTTTATAACCCTGACATTGACGAACGCCAAGAGGTAGAAAAGGGAGGAATTCAACATGGCTTGGGCGTCAGGCGAACCTGCTTTGCTCACGCCGAGGGCTTCGTGTCGGCCCTTCTGTTCTCCATCGAGACGCAGCACACCATAGGCTACGGATACCGCTACATTACTACAGAATGTCCGGAGGGGGTACTTCTCTTCGTGATTCAGGCCATAACTGGAGCCATGATACAGGTTTAAGCTATTTTTTATTTATTACTCATCAATGATACAATATAAACAGATGTGAGTGTCTTAGTAAATATTCGCGCATTTTTTTATATGCGCGTTAACTAATCTCAAACTTTTTTAGATCACTATTTTAACCCCCCTTTCATTTTAAAAAATAAATAAATAAAGGGCTTCGTGATAGGTCTCATCTTTAGCAAACTATCCCGGCCGAAAAAGCGGGCAGTAACACTCATGTTCAGTCGTAACGCCGTTATATGTACCCGCGACGGCCAACTTTGCTTGCTAGTTCGTATCGGGGACATGCGAAAATCGCACATAATAGATGCCCGCACCAGGGCTTACCTATTTCGCAAAAAAGTTACTCTCGAGGGAGAGGTCATACCTCTGCACCCCCATCACATGTCTCTCAGTTTTGATCCCGATGGAGTCACGGATAGAATTTTCTTGGGCTGGCCCAGTATCCTGGTGCATAGGATAAGCGAGGGCGACCTAGGGGATGCTGGCTTAGGGTATACTATTTTACCGAGTCTTTCGATTATAATTATATCCAGGGACTTGGAACCTATTCTAGATTGAAAATGACAAATTTAAGTCCCTGATTGTGATTAGTTAAGTTTTTTTTTTTAAATGAAAGAATTATAAGCATTTGGCATTCAATAATTGAAACATTATTTCTTTTATTTATATTTATAGAAAAGATTGAATTTAGAAACCAAGAGAATTTTTTTTAGAAAATTTGGACAGTAGCTGTATTTGCATAGAATATATCTAATTCTCAGAAAAAATAGATTTCAACGATCAACTATTTTATTCAATTATAATATATAATTATAACAGAAAAAAACTTAAGGTTTCTTGAATTACCCTGAGTAAGTTTAGGAACCAAAACAGCTATCTATTTTTATCAACATTCATAATTATTTTTTTAAAAAATGTAGATTAGAAGGTGGCTATAGCGGCCCGGGTCGGTCTCCCCTCTATAACCTGGGCGCTAAAGATTTAGCCGAAGAAAAATTTGAAATGGTCGTCATCCTGGAGGGTATGATAGAGGCTTCCGGTATGAGTATGCAAGCCAGAACTTCTTATTTGCCTAGTAAAAAAAAATTTTTGAACGCTTATTATGATTTACCTTATTTCGAGTTCTAGAAAAATCATAGTAATTTAATATTGATATAATTTTGAGGACTTTGATAAATTATTTCAAATGGTATCGTATAATTGGTCAAAATACTGTTTAGCATTAGAAACCATTTTAAAAAAACAAGCGCTACCCATATTAGAATGACATAATTATAAATATGTATATCTCAGAATTGGCACAAGATTGGCAGCTAATTTTTATTTAGAATATCAATATACAGGGCTTGCCGTTGTATTATGAGAGTACAAATTACGTAAACAACATTTTATATATTTTTTCGATCCTAACATCATATAAAAATTAATTTAAAAATAATGTCAATACCCCTATTTTTATCATTCTTTTGAACAAATTCTCATTCAAAACGAAAAAAAAATATAATTATTTCATCAAATTTAAAATTATTATTGTTAACCTTTGTATTTAAGAAATTTATTAAATTTATCGATTCACTTTCGTTATCGGACTATTTAAAATTTGCAAAATTGGAGATTTTAGCCTATCCAAATATGCGGCTAATTATATTTGTCGCTATCAACCTCTTCATAAAATATTTTAGTTTGAACTATTTTTAAGTAAATATCTGTTAATTTTTTGGCACTATACACATTTATATCTTGACAATTTTAATATCGGCAAAAAATCGGTATATCAATTAAGTATCTAAAGTTTTGTTTTTGAAACATAAAGCTACCTTTTATTGAAAATTTCTAATTATTTTTAAATAAAATCTGCTATCAATCACTAGTTATAAAAACAATACATGTTTAATCTATATAAAAAAGAAATTTTTTTTGAAAAGTCGCTTTATTATACCGAAAGGCATTCGTCAAAGAAAAAAAAATGAAATTTATTTTAATAATCAAATGTTAGTTAATAAAATAATTTAGTGAAGCATGTAAAGTAAGAAAGGAATAATTAAAAAGGAATATATATTTTTTAAATTATACAGACGAGATCCTTTGGGGCCACAGGTTTCAAAAACTGATAACTTTCGTGAGAGAAGATGGTGACTACAACGTTGATTATTCTCGCTTTCATGACACAGTCCCCTTTAATATGCCTTCCTGTAGCGCCAGGGATTTAGATATCTTTCGCCGCAAATTCCGAGAAGAGAAACGAAAAATCAAGTCGCGATAAATCTTCCATTTTTTTAGAAATATGATTAGAAAGCCAATTCACGGTCTCAACTGGGAAGGGGGGGTTTCTAGAATGGCAGAATAAAAAAAATTAGACATTCAGGCCAGATATTTTAAAGAATACCCCTTCGAATCTCTATTAGGAAATGGAAAAGATGAAAGGAATACGAAAATTTTGTGTATTTTCGCGCCCAGATATAGAATTACAACGAATAACTGATTTGATTAAAATTTCTTTTTTTAAGGCTTTGGGCAGTTCTTAATTCTTAATAACGGTAAATATCAAAACTATTTCCAAATTCGGTTTTAATAAATCTTCGGCTGAGTATTATAGTGTTCTATGTCCATTTTTAAAAATTATTCAGGAGAGCACGTAATATATTTTAAATAGGATATCACAATTTAATAATATACAAATAAAGGATCTTTCCAAATTATATTTTAACATTTTTATTGTGGATATATAAGAAAATAGTATTGAATAATTCATTTATCAAAAGGAAAGCATTTTGCAAAGAGTGGATATAGAACACTCTAATACTCAACCGATGATATTTTGATTTATTTATTTATCCCATATCTTTCCTTTTATAATTTATCGACATCAAAACCTCCTTAAGTTTGAGGGGCATACGGTTTCAACTTAGAGAAGTCGATACGCATTTATTTTTATTTTTCAATATGATTTTAGACAGGGAAGGGGTAATTAAGTGTAACAATATGGTTATTTGCTCACTTTTCGAGGTTTAATATCGAACTGATGTTATTTTAGATTTATCTATCCCGAAAAGTAATTATTTTATTAAAAATAATTTTTTTTAAATTTTCATAAAAATAAAACTATTAGTATGTTTAAAGATGTATCGCTCCGCGACAATAATCTGGAAAATTTTAACGCCAATGAACTGATTTCCAAGATGGAGGATATGCAACTTTTATTTCTGGAGATCAAGAAACGATTTGAAACAGCTTTCACCGGACATTCTCTTTGAGAAGTTATATTAACGCACGTTGCCGAACTAACCAGGTATTTAAGGCGCAAAATAGAAAAATAAAATCTCGAAGGTTTTTTTTCTACCTGGGTTAAAATCCCTAAAAATTTTACAAGAAAAATGGAGAAATGAATTAATATAAACCTCATACTTACTCAACACAATTATAAACAATGAATTTCAACTGATAATCACAAATTCAAAAAAACGAGTTACAAATGCCAAATTTTGATAAGCATTTCAATTTTTTTATACCGTTATTATTCCTTTAAAATCCTGGGACAAACTTTCTAAAAGTTGAATAAAATTTACGGAAAAAAGAAACAATTCCACAATATTTAAGAATTGACATCTTGAATCTCATTCCATCCCACACAAACATTTTTTTTAAATACCAGTGATAATTAAATTTATATAGATGCCCACTCAAGTTGGTTATGCTTTTGTATATATAGGTGCTTACTTTTGGAGGCTTTGTGATAAATTTTTTTTTAGAAATATACAATTAAAATACCTTATATTAATTATTTTTTTATTATAATCAATTGAATATAGGCTTAATAAACTTTTATTCAAATACATACCTAAAACATATATATACCTTCTCTATAAAACGTATGTTTATAAAAAACTATTTTAGGTTAGAACAGTATAATGAACTTACTTAATTATTTTAATTTCGTTTATATTATTAATGCTTTTTAAAATTCGCGACCATCATCATGACTATTATATATATTTTTATTATATCGATACTCTATGGTCAAGTGCTAGAATTAGACGCGTCGCATGTCCCTATTCAAAATCAGAATCGAGACCAATATTTCTCTCCATTCATTGGTTAATTTACACCGCGCTATAATAAAAAGCATTTTACAAGAAAATTTTTATAAATATACTATATATTTTTTCTTCTTATGTTACTTTACTTAGAGTTTTGTTTTGAGTATCGAAAAATCTACCCGATATTTATGTTCAAATATTGTTGCTAACCGGTAAATTTTACTCAGATTGCAAAAAAAAATTAAGTCTTTTTTAATGAACCTGTTATTTTTATATAATTTCTTTATCCATTATTTTTGTTACTAAACCCAAAATTTTTGTATATATTTTTTAATTATCATACTTGTAAGATCATGTTTTTTTTAGCCAATTTGACGATAAAATTTATTTATACAAATGTAGATAGATTTACTATATTCTGCAATCATTGTTCATAAAAAGTTTAAAAAGAAAAATACTAACAAATAATAAAGGAAATATAAGAAAGAAGGATCTGTAGTAGAAGAAAAAATTGCCAAATTAAATAATTGATTTGAAAAAAAAAGTAAAAATTGATTAAGAACTATTAATGAAGTTATAAGCACCTCAATTATTACATCAATTATAAAATATATATCTAACGAGATTTAGCAGCCTGATAATTTTTGATTAATTATTTGATATTTTAAAATCTGCACGTATTAACGAATCTATAATCTAAATAAAATTAAAAATGATTTTTTTTAAAAATTAACTTTTTATAGATGAGTATGAACGAAATTTAGAAGATAAAAAATTCATATCTCAAGCAGCTCTTTAAATAAAAATTGCTTTCCATTTTTTCAATAAAAATTATCATTTTTAATAGACAAGATATAGGATTATTTGATCTTTTTTTAAAAAATACATTTATTTGGCTATAAATAGAAAAAAAATATTTTAAAAAAGTTATCTATTAGATTGGCTTTATTAATATTAACAATTATGATATATAATAAATCATTCCGAGTAAACATAATATAATGAAAGGTTTAATTAGTAATTTAACAAGAAAAATTGTTTAATCAACTGTGGTAAATTGATGAAGCATACTTAATTTGCAATATGGTAGGCGTGGTTATCCAGAAGCAATATCATTAATAAAGCGTTTCGCTAATTTACCATATGTCTAAGGGTTATAAAAAGATTGGTAAAAAATTACTAAGGTATATTTTGATAAATGAGCTAAATATTTAGCACTTTTTTAAAAAAAATTGGGCAATCCTTGTTTTTTATTGGGTATTAATTAGTGCTGTCAATCTAATTTTTTTAAAAAAGGAATGTTATATTTAACCTTACTCCGCAATGGAAAAAGATTGGAAAATTCTTTTCCTCTTATTTCATCAATCTATATTTTCAACACAAATCCCATAATTCAAATAAATTGCTCAGAATTTTTATTATTATATTATTCTGCATATATTCATAATTTAATATTTTAACAAATTTTAATGATGATTGTATTTCAACTTTTTAAGATTGGTTATTTCTCAACACCACGTTTGCTATAGTGAACATCCGTTCAATAGATACGAGGATAGCAGGGGTTTATTACAATTTATAAAAAGGTTTTAATGTTTGAAATTGCTAGTTATCTTTTCTAAAGATATGTTTTTTTCACTATAATCATGGTGATCAGATATTATCTTAATCACAAATTATTTTTTTTTATCCGGGAAATGAGTTTTGACACTAATTTCTTCCATAAATGTCTTATTTTTCTCAATGTCTATCCTCAATTAGAAATCTAAATAGTGTTTTTTATTCAATAGGCCTTCAGTGCTAAGAACATACAAAGGCATTATCGACTATCCAATACGGGCATTCCCTGCGTTACTTCACAATTTTTTTATGGGTCATGTTTATAGATTTAAAGCTTAGACGTTAGACCCATAGCCATCGGCATTACCTGACGTCGATCACTAACCAAATAAATAATGAGTCGGACGCATTTTACAATATCTCCCATTCTACCAATTGGAATAACGTTAAATGCAAAGCTGCAATTAAGATAGCCCGAATGTACTTAGAAACCAATCCCTTGGGTGACGTTCTCATTTAAAGTGACTTCCTAAATGCATTCCTTGCTCTAAGACGAATTCTATCTATTTTTATTCTGAATTTCCCCAGTTACTGCAAGACTACTATTCCAGTAGTTTTGTTATTATCAAGAACAATATTATGTAAGCCTGCAAATTTTGCTCATAGATTGCTAAATCTCCAGGCAATCATAATATTATTTTGGCTAAAATTTTATCTAGTCTTTAAAAATCGGGCCATTTAACAACATTATTCTCCAGACCATTCACCTTGTATACCTAGATAAATTGTTGCAAAATTTTAAAGATAATTCAAACTAGTAAAGTGCCATTGTCAAATATAATAAGGATAGGAAAATGTTTATTTTTTTATTCCAAAATTTTTTGGGATTTTAAATATTACATTTTGATTTGTCATTTATAATACTATATGTAAATAATTTATATATTGAATTCAATTTATCTCTAGTCATTATAAACTATAAAATGCTGTAAAATGACATAATATACAAAAGTACTTAAAAATTGCGACTGACACTTATCAAACAAAATTGATTGATAATAATCTTTATAATAATTCGGATATAAATTAGAATTTTAGCAATATACTAATGATAACTTTCACGTTATTTTATATGTATAAAATCATTAGGGTGGAAAGCCGTTTATAGACATTTTCGCTGTTCAGTTCAGGTTAGTGTAGAAAATCATTTAACAGTTCAGGTTACATCGTAATTGTAATGAAAATTTTATATGCAAAAAATATTAATAAATAAATTTGATTGCGAAAGAGAAATAAAAATCAAGTGAAATTTAAAAGCTAAAAATATAAGGTAAAAAAATCATTAAAAAAAGTCAAAAAATTGTTATGTAGGATGAAAAAGGGGGAAAGAATTATTAAATAATGAGATAAAAAATGAAGTAGAGAAGTGAAGAAAAATCTCCAGGGCTTACATTATATTATATCCAACACTGTCTTCAGTAGTTTCTAACATTAACCAAATGATTTCAACCCGCATATTCTATTTTAAGAGATATTATTAAGTCTTTCATACCTTTATAAAATCTTTACCGTTAATAAAATATTTAATATTTAGAGAAATTTTAACCAAATTGCGAAATAAAAAAAAATGAACCCTCCTTTTAATTTGTTATAAATTGTAAAATTTTTATGTCTTTTTTTTTACAATAATGGTTTAAAGATAATTAAAAAATATTGGCCAAAAATTTCTAAAAATTACGATAAACGGTTAATATCATTGATTAATTTTTTTCTAGCTTTATAATAGTACATTAGTAAAACCTCCAAAAGTGAACAGACCACTTTTAGATATTATTAACCATTTTAGGACGTATAATCCTTGTTAAATTTCTATTAAAAATATATAAAGACGTGACTCTCACCTCTCCAGTTGTAATCACCTTTCACTTTATCACTTTAGATAGGTTTTTGCTCCGGACGAGATCTATAGGCTTGCTGGGGTTCAATGGGTGCTTAAAATCTTTAAAAAAACTGATTAAAAACCAATATTTTTTAAAATTTCTTTTGCTTCACTTTAAAAAAATTTCTGTTGCAAATAACTGACGAGTTTTGAGCAGCCAATAGTCCTCTCTAGAGATGATGTTGCCTTTGGGTCAGCATAGGAGAGACACCAAAAATATACTGCTGCGTTTGGATAAATATTTTTGTTTTTTAGAGTTGTTAAAAAAATTTATAATTCAGGGAGATTTTTATAAACGACCCGATTACGATGTTAGCCAAAATAATATTATATAAACATCCAGATTTGACATAGAGGTCCTCTGCCATCTATGATTAAAATCTCCATTGAATGATATTATTTTGGCGAAAATCTTAATCGATTCCTTTTTAAAGACCCGAATTGGGGTTTTTAACAACCTAAGAAGTGTGGTCATGTTGGGAATAGGATGTTTCATGATAAAATAAAAAAAATTTTAAAGATAAATTACATTTCTTTGTATTTGCTACATGTTTTCTTAGAGATAAAATAAAATTAAAAAATATATATTAAAAATTTTTTTTATAAAAATTAATTAAAAAAAAAATAATTTAAAAAACATACTTGACAAAAAAAATTCTTATATTATTATTTTTATTAGTATATATATATTTTTTAGTTTTTATAAAACAAATTATTTTATTTATAAATTGGTTGAAAAATAAAATTTGTTCCATAAAGATGTAATTTCCAAAAAAAAAATTTTAATTAAAAATAAAAATAATTACACTATTTTCAGCAACAATTTGGTGAAAATATAGTATAGATGATATAAATTGTGATATTATAATTAAGTAATTTTATGTAGAAAAATTTGAATCTTCTTTATGTGGTTTATTTTTATCGAAAAATTTTAGTCAAATTATTTAGGCTTGCCGTTATAACCAGCCTGAGAAGATTGATAGGCTTAGGGTAGAAGATCCTATGCGGTTGAAAAATAAGGATTTGAAGATTTCTATCCGCGGTATTTGTTGAGGGATAATTTTTTAGACTTGTGATCATAACTGGTCTATAAGTTATTAGATATCATAATATCTTTGATTATTTTTTATTAAGATTACTGTTAGCCTTCATAAAGGGAGAAAAAATTACTTGTATTGCATTTATTATACAAAGTAATTTAGAGTGAATATCTAATTTAGGCATTACTTAAGGGGTCCTAATTCCCAATCCAAGCGAGCTACAGTTTATTAATTATTAATGACCTTTATAAATAGAATGCTGTCTAAGCTATTTTTTTGATCCCGACGGGTGCTTTTAAAACGTTAAATTATATATTTCAAGTTTAAAATCATATTTTCACATATTGTAATATACCTTAGCAATGAGATACTAAAATCAAGTAGGTACATATTTATCCCCTATTTCCTTCTACCCCCGGACCTACATTTGATTACTAGACTACCAAACCTAGAAGAAGAAATATACAGCATTGATCAAACTTACACATAATATATCACAATTTTGAAATTACCACAGATCTACCCAAAATCGATTACAAAATCTCCCATATTTTTATTCATAAATAAATTTTTAAATATATAACTTTAAAAAAATTAAACAAAAAAAGTAAAAATTTGTATTATATTATTATTTTCTTTTTCAGTCACTTTACAAATAAAATAAAGAAAGCAATTATTTTATAAATCGGTAACTTCGGTTTTACCAGGTTTTAAAATTATATTGATGTTCATCCTGAATCAACGATTTATAGATTATTTTAAAAAAATTGAGCCTTTTTAATAAAATTTATCTTTTTATCATTATATTTTAAATAAAATTAATATATATAAATAAAATAAAAAATTACCACTTTGAAATTATTAACCTGGAAACCATGCCCTATTCCTCTTCTTACTTAAAAAAAATTCAGGCTTGGTCAGGGTATATTT